TATTCACCTGTACTGCATGTCTTTGGACTGTGGGGGACCCGGAGGAAACCCACGCGAAGGCAGGGAGAACATGCAAACTCCACACAGAAACACCAACTGAGCCGAGGTTCGAACCAGCGACCTTCTTGCTGTGAGGCGAGATCAATATATGTTAAATTAATATATCAATATATGTTAATTTTCTCACTCTCAGGCCATCCAAGCAAGCTTTTGTCTTCAGATAAATGTCTCAATGTAGACTTTTATTTAAAACTGAACTCTTTTAGAGTTTTAATGCTAACAGATGAAAGCACTTTGAAAGTTCAAAAAACACAGACAGACAAAAAAAAAGAAGATACACCAATGCCATTGGCATTTAATGTAAAGATGTTGTGAATAATCTTGAGTTTCTTGATCATTTTGCTTCATAAGACCTCAGTGTATCATCAGGAGCCACGACTTTTTTAGCTTCACTTCTATGTGTTGTTTGACTGTCAAAATGCCAGTATTTGCATTGACGTGTATTTTATGAATCATAATGGGCCACGGTTGCATTTAAACATCTTCAATAATATACACCTGATGACGGATGCAGTGGCACTATCCACTCACAGCAAAAATGTCTCTGGTTTGAGTCTCAACTGGGCCAGTTGGCTTTTCTGTGTGGAGTTTGCATGTTCTCCCAGTGTTGGTGTGGGTTTCCTCCGGGTGCTCCGGTTTCCCCCACAGTCCAAACACATGCGCTATAGGGGAACTGAATAAACTTAAGTGGCCGTAGTGTATAAGTGTGAGTGTGAATGTGAGGGCGTACTCACACTATGTACAGTTGCCTTGAACCGGGTCGAAGTATCCCCCCCCCATCTCCCCCGATGGCCCGCACTCACATTACATTCGGGCCTCGGCATGCTTACGTCAACAATGATGCGCTGTTCAGTAAGTGCTCTCACTCAGCACAGTGGAGATTTCTTTAGTTATATCGTTTTGGTGGCTTGAGAATCAGTAATGCAGTCAGATATTTAGCCGAACAGATCCGCCACTTTTGACGCTCATAAACAATCATAAAGTCCTCGTGCTGCAGAAATTAGGAGGTTTGCTGAAGGTGCAGCTGTCGTGCAGTGAGGGGTTTGCATCTTTAACAAACTACGACAGAACGAATGATTAATAAATCCATATGAAACGGCCTTAACAGTCACATCTCATCTTCAGTTTCAGGCTCAGACACACTTTGCACTCACACTACAAGCATATCGCGTCAAAGCCCAAGTGAACCGCGCTCAGGCAAAACTCTTCCAACTGGGCCAGGGCCGGCCAAATAACCCTGGCCTGTGCCCGATTCAGAGCACTCACACTTCTCAAACAATCCGGGAAACGAGCCTGGGCACGCTTCAGATAGCATAGTGTGAGTAGGCCCCCTGAGAGTGTATGGGTGTTTCCCAGTACTGGGTTGCGGCTGGAAGGGCATCAGCTGCATAAAACATATGCTTGAATAGTTGGCGGTTCATTCCGCTGTGACCACCTTGAAAATAGAGACTACACTGAAGGAAAATGAATAAATGAATGAGGGATGTAGTGAAAGATTTAGAACTGGAGAAAATCAGATTCTCCCCCAATAAAAGAAAGCTGACAAATTCTATAAAATCTGGCAACCCTTCGTGGATTATTTTAAAGACATCAATGTGACAGGAAAGAGTTCAATTGATGAGGATTCCACTAATTGTTTGGATTAAAACTGAAGGTCTGTATTTTTTATAATTTGTTAAGGTACCTCACATCTTTTGCTGTTTTACTTTCTTATGTATTGTTTGTATCCGCTTGTTAGGTGACGTGTTGGTGACGTATGTAATACTGTTTCCGGGTCCAAGCTGCCACTCATTTGAGTGGAGAAATCATTTGTTTATGATCATGTTTTATTATATACTGCGATAGTGATTTTCGAAAGTATTAAATCGCTTTGTAAACGTTTATTATTGCCATTTCATGAGTCTCCCTATTCAGTTGAATAGAGCGCTTGGACCCGGAAGCCGCTTCGCGTGACGTCACACTTAACAAGCGGATATTGTATCTTTTATTGTGAATTTTTGTGTAAATGCTTGTTGGACCGGTCGATGTGTTCGAATCGGTTTAAAAAAAACAATAAAGAAAGTAAAAACTCTTTAATAACATACTGAAGCAAACAGTTCTCTCTAGAGGAGAAAAAAAGACAATTTGATTTTATTTTAGGTGAACTGTCCCTTTAAGAGTGTCTCTCCAGTGAGCATGACATTAGAAATGAGGCTGGGTGTTTGATCTTGCTGAAATAGTGTTTCTCAGCACTTTCAGGAAGACAACGTGAGGTAAATAATCCATTCATGATGGGCTGGTGCAGTTAAAGCCATTTCCAGTGTAAAAGTAGTCAATAATAATAAGACCTATATACAAATGGTCTTTAATTAAGAGAGCTGCGTAAAGCCTGTAAATGCGTAGCTATAGCGGTCAGCTGCTCTAACAACTCGATGGAAATGCAGCTAATTCACATTTGTGTTTGGGCAAAGTTTGAAATAATCAGCTTAACGTGTTTATATTTAATACCTGTATATGTTTGACATGTAAATCTGTGTATGTGTGCGAGTGTGTTTCTAAGCAGTAATACACCATTGAGCTTGATGATAAGGGATCTCGGAAGAAAGTTTGCCTTGTTTACTGTTGGTTGCTAGGTTACCAATACTACAGTCAACCTCTCTAAAAACTAGATGGAAACGTGCTTGAGTCACATTTGTTTCGTTTTTGTTGCAAACTTTGAAATAATTAGCTTAATGTTAGGATGGAACCCCGGCTACTGATACCAGTTTACATTTATTATGTAAATCTGTGTATGTGTGCGAGTGTGTTTACATGCAGTAATATGTCAATAAGCTAGGAAGAAAGTTTGCCTTGTTTACTGTTGGTTGCTAGGTTACCAATACTACAGTCAACCTCTCTAAAAACTAGATGGAAACGTGCTTGAGTCACATTTGTTTTGTTTTTGTTGCGAACTTTGAAATATTTAGCTTAACGTTAGAATGGAAACCCGGGTACTGATACCGGTTTATATTGAATATGTAAATCTGTGTGTGTATGTGTGTTTGAGTTTGTTTATAAGCAGTAATGCGTCATTGAGCTTAATGCTAAGCAATTTTGGAAGAAAACGTATTTTTAAAATAAGCGCTCTTTCCTTATTTCTTGTACAAGAACGTGCAGTTTTTTCTGGATGCATCCGGATAAGAGTCTCTGAATGCCCTCGTGATGCTCTTTAGCATGTGCTGTGAATGAGGAAGCTGTACTCAGAACAGTGTGAAGACTGAACCTCATCTCCAGCGCCGCAGCCAGACTGACTCTGTCAACAGAAAGGGTCAGTGGTTAATTTAATCTAATGTATTTATATAGCACAAATGTAACACTGCCAAGTACTGCACATGTAATACAACTACCTAATCTAAAGTGCGGTAGAGAAAATAAAATAAAAAATAACCAAGAAAACAAACCAAGAAGGAGAGCTTGTTAGTGGTTGGAGTGCTAGATTTGATTTATTTTTATTCGTTTTAATTGTAATGATTTATTCTTATAATTATTTATTATTAATTTATTAGTTTTTAATGAAAGTATTAGCTATTTAAGTATATCAAAATAAACTACTAAATGTCTCCTAAAAATAAGATGTTTTCAGGTTTCAGTTTATTTCTTTTAACCTTTGTCAAATCACAAAATTGGTTTGATATGTAGCACAACCTGATTTGAAAAATTATTTTGTTTGTTTATATAGTTTTGTTCAAATATCTATTTAATTGAATGTGACTATATTTTTGTTACTATCCTCATCCTGTATATGTACTAGATAAAGACTTTCCAGCATTGTTTCTTTTAAAAGATGTGTATATATATATATATATAGTTCAGTCAGAATTATTAGCCCACATTAATTATTAGCCACTCTGTTTATTTTTTCCCCTAAATTTCTGTTTAACGTAAAGCAGAATTTTTAACTAATTTCTAATAACTGATTTATTTCATCTTTGCCATGATGACAGTAAGTAATATTTGACTAGATATTCTTCAAGACACTTCTATACAGCTTAAAGTAACATTTAAAAGCTTAAATGGGTTAATTAAGTTAACTATGCAGGTTAGGGTAATTAGGCAAGTTATTGTATAACGATGGTTTGTTCTGTAGACTATTAAAATATATAGCTTAAAGGGGCTAATAATATTGTCCTTAAAATGGTTTTAAAAAAATAAAAACTGCTTTTATTCTAGCTGAAATAAAACAAATAAGACTTTCTCCAGAAGACAAAATATTATCAGACATACTGTGAACATTTCCTTGCTCTGTTAAACATCATTTGGAAAATATTTTTAAAAATTAAAAATGTATAGGGGGATATTAATTCTGACATCAACTAGCGTGTGTGTGTGTATATTTTCACACATTAGATGCAAGAAATATTTGTGATTTTTGGTTCCCATTTTTAATAATACTGCTATAAATATGAAACAAAATAATTACCAAAATATTATATAAAAGTGCATTTATCAAAAGCAAAAAAAAAAAAAATATATATATATATATATATATATATATATATATATGCAAGTAAAATAATAATAATAAAAATAGTATTATAAATTATTACAAAAGCAAACAGCAAAATTTTTAATTTAGCCAAATTTATCAATACACAGTGGTTTGATATTTTAACAGTGGTTTGATTAAATAACTGATTAAAAAAAGCACTGTCAATGTAGTCAGTTTGAATAAAGGCACACCCAATATACATAAATGCAATATATATATATATATACAGTTGAAGTCAGAATTATTAGCCCCCTTTGATTTGTTTTTCTTCTTTTTTAAATATGTCACAAATGATGTTTAACAGAGCAAGGAAATGTTCACAGTATGTCTGATAATATTTTTTCTTCTGGAGAAAGTCTTATTTGTTTTATTTTGACTAGAATAAAATCAGGTTTCAATTGTTTAAAACCTATTTTAGGTACAAAATTATTAGCCCCATTAAGCTATATTTCTTTTTGATAGTCTACTGAACAAACCATCATTATACAATAACTTGCTTAATTACCCTAACCTGCCTAATTATCCTAATTAAATCTTTAAATGTCACTTTTTAAGCTGTATAGAAGTGTCTTGAAAATTATCTAGTCAATTATTATGTACTGTCATCATGGCAAAGATGAAATAAATCTTATTTAGGTTATTAAAGATGAGTTATTAAAACTATTATGATTAGAAATGTGTGAAAAATTATGTGAAATGTATGTTTAGAATCTGCTCTTCATTAAACAGAAATTGGGGGTAAAAATAAACAGAGGGGCTTCAACTGTATATAAATATAATTCATATATATTTATTTTATTCAATACAAAAGAGTTCTGTGTGAAATGGACTCACTGAATGTGAGAGTCTGAAAGTGTAGGTGACCTCCTGAAAGGGCAGGACAGGAAGTGACCACACGTGACTCGTGCCCTGGAAGAAAACAACAGGGAGTAAACATATTGAACATACTGAAGAATATTGAAGTAGAGATTCATAAACAGCCCCGCAGCCTCACCGTTGTGAAAGTGCTGGGCGACAGAGAGAAAGAGGAGTCTGGGTAATTTGGACAGAGTCGCCCTCTGCTGGATCCACAGCGCCACACATACAACACCTCAGAGGAGCTGAAAACACACGCGTCAGTCATCCGGTGTATTATTTTATTATATGTTTAGCTATGATAATCATATTTCCACAGCTACTAGGTGTAATAAAATAAGGTCTTTCTCAAATTTTATAAATACCATTGTTTTTATTTTTAATACAAAAATATAAACATTTATTAATATAAATGATGCTCTAGAAAATGACAAAATACTAATTAAAATTAACAGACATGTCTTATTTAAAGTCTTTTATTTTAATAATGAGATTTTTTTTAAATATTAAATTTCTTTATTTTGCATTTAGATTTTTTAATTTTAGTATTTTAAAATTTAATATTTATATGAATTTTAATTTTCTATTTATTTCAGTATTTAAGCTAAACTAAAAACATGTGAACTATTTCTTTGGTGTACTCAAATATAGATATTTTTAAATCTTAATAAACATTTTAACTATTAATCACAAAACACACTGAAACAAACCAACAGGCAATGCCCATTTCAACAATGCTAAAGAAAGACTAAATAAAGGATATATATTCATGATTAATCAAATCATTATAATAATAAAAAATAAGTAAATAACCAAAATGAAAATAATAATATTAATAAAATCAATTCAATTATGATAAACCATAACTCAAAATACAGCTTGAAGAAACATCAATAAAAGCCAAGTAAGGAGTCATAATCAAATCTTAGGTAATGATCATTTCTTGGGTGTAATCAAATAATTTGGCCCAATCCCAATTCTCCCCCTTACCCCTTCCCTTACCCCTCATTTTGCACGTTCACGTTAAGCTTGCAGGTGTAAGGATAAAGGAAAGGAGTAGATAGCCTTTCGAAAGAGAGATTTTTCAGGACCACCCTTGAAACTAAGGGGGAATTCCCAGAATACACCAGCCACAACAGCAGGTGTTGTCGTTATTTACATTTTTTTGTCATTATTACAAATTTTTACAACAAACAAGCATATGTTTTAATACATCATAACCGCATAAAAAAACAGCTAAAATAAAAACCGCTAAATTTGGCGATCTGTAATCCCTAATCATAACTCCTGTACAGCAGTCCCATAACAGTCTGACACTCGACTACCCTGTCAGAACAGTCTAGTGGCTGGGAATGACCTATTTACAGTGTCTGCTATAATGTTAATGCTGTTTACGTGTGTTTACATAGATATGGCCACTGTGTAAATGAGCAGTACAGTTACGATCTTATTGCCACATTAGATGGTTATGATAACATTATATATGCCTTTAGTGATCTCCTGAAGATAAATACCAAAAAATAACACAACTGGAATCCCTACAGCAGTCACGATCGACTGATCTCATATGAAGCAAGAGGTCGTGATGACATATGATGACGTGTGCAGGTGCTGTAGTGCTGTCCTAATTCTTAATGGTAAAATTTAAAGCCAAACAAAAATAAAACTGGGATTGGGCCTTTGTCTTTTATATAAAAAAAATAAATAATAATAAAACAAATAACAGCCTTCTTGAGAATGAAAGAGAGTGAAGACATCACAACTATGACAAGATGTAAATTCATGTCTTCTGGAAAATATATACAACTGTCTAGATATTCTAATTCTAATATAATTATCAAAACAAAGTGACTTTCATATGCTTAACATGTGACTATTACTAAATAAAGAAGATGTGAAGGTGTGTTTCTACTCACATCATGTGCAGAGTAACGTGAGACGAGGATGAGTTGTGTTCACCGTTTACAAACACGGTAAAGCTGCAATAATGAACAAAACAGAAGCAGCTGTCAGATCACAAGACGTTATACAGGGATTTCAACACACACACACACACACACACACACACAGGTTTATTGTTGTGATTCTCTTAACAGTATTTAAGAGTATTCTCCATATGCGTAATGTATTTTATACTGTACAAACCACTTCTTATAGACCTTTTTCTTGAAACGCAAAATTACCCATTATGCTTTGCGTGTATGCGCAAGGAGAATGCGAAGAACTTCCGGTCGGCAGCTGATGTGTGTAAACAGTCACATTTGGACAGCTTTGAAACGATAGTTTTAATCTATTTTACCTGCTTTTATCCTCTTTGAACTAATACTGTTGTCCATCAGCAGCATCTCCTGGACTGATCATTTAAAGAAATGTGATCTAATAGGATGGAAAACAGCTGCTGTGAGGCGTTTTCCCCTTGTTGTCAGAAGGCATCTTCTGCAGTTTAAATAAAGCTTCGTCATCGCTAAAGTCAACATTTTCTCTTTATTTCAAATATATAACCAGCCCAAACAAATGTAATTCACCAAAATGTTTGACACACACACGTAGCCTGTACTGTGCCACTGACACACTGATTTAATAACTGTGACAAAGTGAAAATATGAAATTTCTGTCATTTCGAAATGACAAAAACACAAACCGTGGTAAAAACAACACACGAAATAAAACACAAACGGCTCGCCATTAGAATGAACAGCAAATCAGCCAGCAGAGGATCAATAACAGACTTTTATTGGTCCTTTTTGTAAATTGCACGACTTTCATACCTGTTAAGTTTCATGCCAGTACTTTGGTTTGCTCTCTCTCTCTCTCTCTCTCTCTCTCTCTGTGTGTGTATGAGTGTTAAAGAGCCGCTGAGCTAACAGCTGACAGGCCGGGAACGCACACGCACACTGTATTTCTGACGGCAGACACGTGAACTAGGAGAACGTTTTTCTCGTATTTCTGACGCGCTTGAACCACATGTGACAGATTATAACAGCTTTAACAGACATATTTCTAAGTTGTGTGTCACAAAAACACTCTGTTATCCATTAAAAACGTTATTGAAACCCATTTTCGGAGCGCAAATGACCAGTTGTACACGCTGTAAAAGGAAGTTTTTAGCATTCTACCGGAAAACGCTGGTCGCTATGGCGCCCTCCATGCCAAGTGGTGCTCGCTGCAGAGCCATTTGGGCAGAGCTGAGCTCCAGCGAGGGGGAGCTTGAGCTCTAGCTCCTCCTTTCTTGCACTTCTTCTACGAGTGATGTCACTGGGGGTAGGGTTAGGGGTGGGGTTGGTGTACGCATTAAAACAGCTTATAGGAGGATGAGCGAGAGCTCATGCTCCCCCTCGCTGGAGCTCAGCTCTGCTCAAATGGCTCTGCAGCGAGCACCGTCTCCTCCATGCAGCAGCCATGAAAAAGGTCTATATGACCTACTTCTAAACCCAACCTCCATGCAGCAGCCATGAAAAAGGTCTATATGACCTACTTCTAAACCCAACCGGTGGCAGATTTTGAATGTGAAAAATGTTTTAAGTTACTAGGACACAAGGGCATGTCTTCATAAACCACCTCAACAGTGTAATATCGTGGTCATACCCATGTCATTATAGAAATGTTTACCTCATAAACACACACACACACACACACACACACACACCTGCAGGTCTCTGGCGAGGAGCAGTGCAGTTCTCGGATCTCCTGATTGGTCTGGAGGATCTGCAGTTTGCTCAGACAGCCTGTTGGGTCTAAAACCAACACACATTTCTTTAAATAATTGTTTTATCTGGGTTTTCTCCTTTAATGTACAGAACAGTAGAGATTAAAGACAGAAAAGTGATGGGAGCGGAGAAAAGGGAAGGACCTCGAGCCAGGAATCGAACTCGGATCGCCGTGAGCCCCTCGGTTGTATATGTTGACGCTCTAACCACTAGCCCAGGGGTGCCCAAATTCGGTCCTGGAGGCCCAGTGTCCTGCAAAATTTAGTTCCAACCCCAATCAGACACACCTGAACCAGCTAATTAGGCTGTTTCTGGGTATACAAGAAACTTCCAGGCAGGGGTTTTGAAGGAAGTTGGAGCTAAACTATGCAGGACACCGACCCTCCAGGACTGAGTTTGGGCACCCCTGCACTAGGCTATTGGCGCTGACCCAAACACGCATTTTAACAGTGCACTACAGTGAGGGTGTTTGAGCTCAAGCCCATCAAATATGAAGCGATTTGAAGGGGGCGGGGCCTGCCAGGGACTAGAGAGCATTTGATTGGTCAGAAGGTTCGATGAGAAACTAAAGGTATGAGGTGACGTGAATAAAACCGTTGATCATTTAGGTGGAAGTGACAAACTACAAGCTGTATTTGTTTGTATCAGTTTTATATCTCCTATATGCAAATTTTGTCTGTTTTGGTGCGCACAATCTTCTAAAGATCCTAAAAAACGAACAGTACTGAACATCTAAAACACTTTTAATTTCATAAGACTGTGTGTGTTTACCGTGGGTGTTGGCGCTGCGCTGTCTCCTCTGTGGTGTCTGTTGTCCGCCAGGCAGGCGTTTGGTGGCTCCGCTCACTTCCGGCGGCTGTGGAGGCCGTTTGGCTTTACTGAGGAACAGCGGAGCCGATGTGTGACTCAGCCGGTTTTTGTTGCGGCTCTCTTTATCCAGCGGCCGAGACTTTGCCTTCTTATTAATGGTGGCCTGTGTGGGAACCACGGTGCTGGAGTCTGAGACAAACGCAGAGAGAGAACAGCTTTTTTGATTCTATATGATTCAGTCCAATTCAAAAGGATTCTGTCCAATCCAGTTGGATTATATCCCATCCCATTTGATTATATCCATCCTAATACTGACTCAGTTTCCTCCATTATGATTCTATCCCATCCTACTGTATATGATTCCATCCCATCCCATGCATATGATTCCATCCCATCCAATATGATTCTATCCCATCCTACTGTATATTATTCTATCCCATATGATTCTATCCCATCCAATATGATTCTATTCCATATGATTTTATCCCATTCAATATGATTCCATCCCAATCTACTGTATATGATTCCATCCAATATGATTCCATCCCATTCAATATGATTCTATTCCATATGATTTTATCCCATTCAATATGATTCCATCCCATTCTACTGTATATGATTCCATCCAATATGATTCTATCCCATCCAATATGATTCCATCCCATCCAATATGATTCCATCCCATCCTACTGTATATGATTCTATCCCATATGATTCTATCCCATCCAATATGATTCTATCCCATATGATTCCATCCCATTCAATATGATTCTATCCCATCCAATATGATTCCATCCCATTCTACTGTATATGATTCTATCCCATATAATTCCATCCCATCCCATATGATTCTATCCCATTTAATGTTACTTAGTCATTTGATTGTAAGTTTGTGATGTTGTGTGGATTGGTTGTGTGGACACATACCTGGTGTGGATTGGTTGTTGCCTGGCAACAGACTGAGAGTTGCTGATTGGTTGGTTGTGGCAAGGGTTGGCGGGCAGCAGGGCGGGTGATTGGTCACTGACAGAGAGGTGGAGTCTGTGAACAGATAATGACCTCATATGAAGCTAATAAGACAAAAACACAACATCTACATTATTTGTTAGAGTGTATCAGAGGACCTGCAGAGAGTGTAGATGTGGTCACTCTTGATGGAGAAAAAGACGCCTGGCGAGCTGATCCCAAAACAGAACGAGACCTGCTGATAGAGATATGATCCCACAGAAAACAAGAAAAAAATAAAACTCAGATTAATGAGATTAAAATGAGAAATGATTCAGATTTGGATTGTTACTGTATCTTAATGCCCCATTCACACAGGGCATCAGGGCGTCACTTTGAATGGGTGATGTTAAGCATTGCCGAACTGAATTGTGGGTCCGTCTGCGCTGTTTCAGTGGCGTTGCTCGCTGCAAAAGTTGGGAATTTCTCATCTTTTCAAGCGCCAATGGAAGCGTCAGCCAATCAGATCATTTTATGCAAATACCCCAGCTCAGACACTAGCCGATTGCGGACTTACTTCATTGGCTGATGCTGCTTTGACGATAGTGTCAGTCACAACTTCCCTCCGTCAATCATTGACACTGAAGCCTTGTGTGAATCGGGCGTTAGTGTGTTCTGAATCATTTTAGGAGAAACCACTAATATACAATTGTTGTTTAGATGCTTCTACCATTAAATACTTTGGTGTTAGATTTAGGAAATTAATATTTGATGCATTAAACTAAATCAAAAGTTACCGTAAAAAAATCCATCCCAGGGTCAGTAAAAATATATATATTTCTAAATTGATGAATTAACTCTAACAATAAGTTTACTGAGCACTAAATTAGCAGGATCATGAGACAACAACTGGAGAATAACCTTTATAATAACAATCATAAATCACATTTTAAATATACTCGAATATAAAATCGTAATATCCCACAATATTACTCAAATTTTTTGCATTTTATTTATTTCCTTTTTATTTTTAAACATGTTTAAGCAACAGTTTTTGATAAGAGAAATTAATGAAATGAATAACAAATCATCAAACAACCAAATATTGAGCAATATAACCATGCGCTTAATATACAGAGCAGCAAGAGGACTTTAAAAATGTTAAAACATTAATTTGGAAGCAAATAAAATTAATTATTAACAAAACAGGCGAATAAAAAATTGAAATAAAAAAAATTATATTAAAATACATACAATAATTAAAAAAATAAACAATCAGTGGTACTCAAATGATCTATGAAATGTCTGCAATATTACTATTCATTCATTAATTTTCTTTTTTTTTGGCTCAGTCCCTTGATTATTCTGGGGTCGCCACAGCGGAATGAACCGCCAACTTATCCAACACATGTTTTACGCAGCAGATGCACTTCCAGCCACAACCCATCTCTGGGAAACATCCATACACACTCATACACTATGGACAATTTAGCCTACCCAATTCACCTGTACCGCATGTCTTTGGACTATAGGGGAAACCGGAGCACCCGGAGGAAACCCACGCGAACGCAGGGAGAACATGCAAACTCCACACAGAAACACCAACTGACCCAGCCGAGGCTTGAACCTTCAGCGACCTTCTTGCTGTGAGGCGACAGCACTACCTACTGCCCCACTGCGTCGCCCGCAATTTTTAACGTATTTATTTATTACTAGATTTTTGATCAAATAATATCAGCTTTCATGAGCGTAAAAAGAACTGAATGATCAGCCTCTAAAAATATGTTTCTTGGAAAATGCAACTTTGGAAATCTTTCAATGCTGAAAAGGCAAGAAATGAAATGTCAGAGAAACAGACAGGAGGAAGTGGAGAGCATTACCACAGACAGGAGGATGGACAGAATGTGAGGGCTGCAGTGAGGAAGGGCGTCCGATAGACGAAAAGAAGACAGCGGGACGTAGAGCTAGAAAACCAGCGAGAGGAGATCAGACGAGAGATTTCGGGAAGGATGAACGGATGAGTGTGGAGATCTACATACCCCTCAACATCACTAACGCTCCCATGCTGTTGAAGATTGAGCACATAGAGGATGGACATGGAGATGACGCTATGGGACAAGAGCCAGACATGAGAATGAGCATGAAACACACACACACATACACACACACTGCGGATGGTCATTTACTGATGTCCTCTCTCTCACCTGAAGGCCATTATGATGACCAAAGCCAGGATGGTTGCCTGCATGAACTTGTGACTCAGACAGCTCTGCTCGGGGACAGCCCGCTGTACACACACACACACACACACACACACACACGCACAAACACACACATCTCAACACTCTGATCACACCGCATTTCATATTGTAATGTTTTATGATTCTGTCCATCCCAATACAAATCTGCTTTTCCAGGTGGTTCAATAACAGTTCATTCAAAGATTCAAGTTAATTCTCTTTGATTCTCTCTCAGCTTTTTTTATTCTATATGATTCCGTCCAATTCAAAAGGATTCTGTCCATCCTAATATGATTCTATTTCATCCATTATGATTCTATCCCATCCCATATGATTCTATCCCATTCAATATGATTCCATTCCATCTCATATGATTGTATCCCATTCAGTATGATTCTATTCTTTCCTTAGGATTCTATCCGTCTTAATATGATTCTATCCCATTTTATATGATTCTATCCTATCCCACATGATTCTATTCCATCCCATATGATTCTATTTTATCCCATATGATTCCATCCCATTCAATTTGATTCTATCCATCCCAATGTGATTCTATTTCATCCATTAAGATTCTTTTCCACTTAATATGATTCCATTCCATGTGATTCTATCTTATTCAATAGGATTCCATCCCATCCCATATGGTTCTATACCATTCTATATAATTCTATTCCATCCTACATTTATTCTATCTATTCTAATACAATTCTATTTAATCTATTATGGCTCTATCCCATCCAATTTGATAATGTCTCATCATATATGATTCTGTTCAATCCCATATGATTCTATGCCATTCAATTTGATTCTATCCATCCTAATACAATTTTATTTCGCCTCTTATGATTCTATCCCATATAATTCTATTCCATCCAACTGTATATGATTCCATCCCATCCCATATGATTCTATCCCATTCAATATGATTCCATCCCATCCCACATGAATCTATTCCATCCCATATGATTTAATTTTATCCCATATGATTCCATCCCATTCAATTTCATCCTAAAACATCCTATTTCATCCATTATGAGTCTTTCACATCCAATATAATTCTATTCCATCCTACTGTATATGATTTCGTCCCATCCCATATGATTCTATCCCATTCAATAGGATTCTATCCCATCCTATATGATTCTATACCATTCAATATAATCCCATCCCATATGATTCTGCACCATCCTATATGATTCTATTAATTCCCATATGATTCTATCCCATGCAATTTGATTCTATCCATCCTAATATGATTCCGTTTCATCCATTATGATTCAGTCCCATCCAATATAAATCTATCCTATCCAACTCTGATTCCCATATGATTCTGTCCTATCCAACTCTGTCTAATCCAGTATGATTCTGTCCCATCCAATTAGATTTTATCCATCCTAATATGATTCTGTTCTATCCAACATGATTCTATTCCATCCTATATGACTCTATTTCATCCAGCATGATCATATTTATTTAATTATTTTCCATTCCATATTATCCTATCAATCCGATATGATTGTGCTCCAGTTGATTTTGTTATATTCCACAATAAATAGCATGATTGGATCCCTATATGATTCCATTCTGATCCATCCTGTCACATTTGAAATCATCCCTTCCATTCCAAGATTCCTTTCCATTTGATTCCATGATTCCATATGAGTGTATATCCCAACTTCTATGATTCTGTTTGATTCCATTGTGTTTCTTTCTCATTCTACATCTCATCTATGTTATTATCACACCATATTCAGTTTTTCCCAGCATTATCATCCCATCCCACTCAAATACTGAATTAGTCAATATGCTTTGTGTATTGTATTTGAATCATACCTTGCTTCCTGGCATAGGTGATTTTTTCTTGAGCGGGCCACTTCCTGTTCGGCTAAAATAACTTCCTGATTGGCTAGAAAAGAAGAGAGCACATTTCTTCAGACTTTGAATCCACTCAATCAGCAGTTTCATAAACACACAGACACACACCTGACAGTTCCTCCACTGACGGTGCTCTTCATGCTGTCCAGTCTCCTCAGTTTGGCCAGTTTGCGGCTCCAGCGCTCCAATTCATCAATGCGGGTCTCCAGATTATCAGTGAGTTTGCAGAGCTCCTTCACTGCGCCCACATTCTCCATGAAGATCCGCTCCTGCACAGTCAAGTAAGAGCAGAGCTAAAGTCAGCAGGCAGCATGGACCTCACAACTCCACATCTGTCCGCAACTTTCCATCATCGTCTCACCACTAACAAACCACTCTAGGGTTAATTTGAAATTGTACCGAGACGACATCTTCAAGCAGGCCTGTATGCTTGTTTAGTGCACCTTTGGTTTACACCAGAGTTCAAGTGCTGCTTTCCCCAAATGATCCGCACCAAAAAGGCAACTGAACTCTGGTGCCTTTTAATCTATCGCTAATTGTCTGTGTGATGTTTTTCTAAACAAGTTTCAGGAAGAGCATATGCAGATATTCTGTCAAGGCTAGTTCATTATCAACTATTATTCTATTATCCAACCTGCTGTACATTGTTTTCTATTTGCTGAGGACTAGAGATGTGTACCAAAACCCTACGTAACCGGTATGCACCAGACCGAATTAGCTTGTGAATTTCGGTGACAAATTTTAGTGCCAAATAAGAAGCATAAAGGAATGCATCAAACAGGGTTCATACACATTTTTACTACTAAAATTCAATGAGTTTTCCAGGACTTTCAAGTAGATCTTCATGACCTAATGTTTCATGTAATGTCTACGTACACGGGGTAAATAACAAAAAAAATAAATCAATGCATGTTCAAAGTTATTACAGTATATCATTAAATTAATCTTTATATATATATATATATGTGTGTGTGTGTGTGTGTGTGTGTATATATATATATATACACACACACACACACACACACACACATACAGTTGAAGTCAGAATTATTAGCCCCCCTGAATTATTAGACCACTTGTTTATTTTTTTTCCCAATTTCTGTTTAATGGAGAGCAGATTTCTTCAACACATTTCTAATCATAATAGTTTTAATAACTCATTTCTAATAACTGATTTATTTTATGTTTTTCATGATGACAGTAAAAAATATTTTACAAGATATTTTTCAAGACACTTCTATTCAGCTTAAAGAGACATTTAAAAGCTTAATTAGGTTAATTAGGCAGGTTAGGGTAATTAGGCAAGTGATTGTATTATGATGGTTTGTTCTGTAGACTATCGAGAAAATATATAGCTTAAAGGGGCTAATAATTTTGTCCTTAAAATCGTGTTAAAAAATTCGAAACTGCTTTTATTCTAGCCGAAATAAAACAAATAAGACTTTTTACAGAAAAAAAAATATTATCAGACATACTGTGAAAATTTCCTGAATCCGTCAACAACATTTGGGAAATATTAAAAAAAGAAGAAAAAAATTGTAAGGGGGCTAATAATTCTGACTTCAACTATATATATATATATATATATATATATATATATATATATATATATATATATGGGTGACTTTTCCAAAACTTTAAGGGGTTTTTCAGATTTAAACTTTTTCAGGCCTGGAAAATGCCCTGTCAAAATATCCAGATGACCGTATGAACCCTGATCAAAGACACACAGAGGTACACGTTGTCACACCATCTCTAAGCATTTCATTATAAACAACTTGGAGGGATGTGGACAACATCTGCAATGTTAGGCATTTGTTCTTGTTGCTTAGGGAATGCACGCACGTAGGCAACGGCGGAGTACAGCAACAGGTATGATTGCATTCATCAAATTGGCCTAAACTAAGCATTCTAAAGTATGGCTATATTTTACAAGCAAGGATTCTGACACAACAACGTGAAGCAGACGCTAAATGATCAAAAGAACATATCAATGCGATTCAATTCAAATATAGTAAATATGAATTGACGTATACTTTAAACTTTAATTATATTGTTATTTAAAATGATTTAAAAAAAATCTTTTGTCAAATGAAAGATCTGTCTAGAGTCATCCACCAGAATTTTGCAGCTTAAAAGTATCGATTCAGGCACCGGCAATGTTTTAAAAGTATTGATTTAGCACCGGTATCAAACAATACCCAATACCGAGAACACAGACTGAATGGCGCTGCCAGTGCTCGAACTCAAAATCTTAAAAATCTCTTCGCGAGCGATTTGTACATGTGTAATCGATACCTCTGCAGCAGCTCTGCTACTCCACTCTAAAGTGTATTGATGTGGTGGGTGTTGTTGTTTTAGATTGTTCTCCTGTCTGATCCCTGTGAAATGAGAAATGAATTGGGGAAAAAACTGCAGTTCAAAGAAAGCAGAGTTTTATAGCACAGCCACTGATTGTGTCACTGTCACGGACCAATGGCAGCTCAACAAACTTGATTTTTGGACAGATTTTGTTTAGAATTATGTCATTTCAGTTTGTTATGCGATTTCATTTTAAATTATACCAGGCCTTTAGTGTGTGTGTGTGTGTGTTTGATTGTGTGCATACTTTATTGACCACCAGTAGATTGGGGATGGTCTCTCCGTTTGCACACACCACGTCTCCTCCTTCCTTCACGGCTTCTGGGAGAATCTGCTGGACCTCCTGAGCAATAACTCCTGATAATACACACACACACACAGAGAGAGAAACAAATAAAAACAGTAATGAGGATGTGGTTTTGTTGAGGATTAGTTTTACAGTCCTCAATTATGTTATGTACACATTTCGTAAAGAACTGTCTGAGTCACAGTTCACCGCATAATGAAATGGATGAAATGATAAATTGATATGATGCATAATGTTCATTCATTCATTTTCCTTCGGCTTAGTCCCTTTATTAATCAGGGGTCGCCACAGCGGAATGAACCGGCAACTTATCCAGCATATGTTTTAGCGGAAGCCCTTCCAGCTGCAACCCAGTACTGGGAAAATACATAATGTTGTTATGATTAAAAGTTTAAAAATGACAAAACTGAAAATAAAAATAAACTAAATATCAATAAAAACAAAAACTATACTATAAATAAAATTATAAGCAAAGAGCTTAAAATGACCAATAGACGACACTCAATAGAACGGTCTATTGAAACAGCAGCGCCCAACAACAGCCCCGTATTCCGCCATTTTGGAGTGAAAGTGATCGGCTGTCCATTGGATCTTATTGCTGTCGCGATGGCAAGCAGATGCTTTGTTTTTAATTTATTTATTTATAAAGCGCATTAAAGCTGAGATACAACCTGAAAGACGACAATACAACTCTTACCAACACAATCATCAGCAATTCTAATAGTTTATTTTACAGACTTATAATATGCTGTTGTTCTTTTGGAAGTTTCATTACAAAAAGGCCGCCGCTCCATCTAGTGGCTGTTTCCCAAATTTCACTAGAGTGTCGCCTCTTGGTGATTATGCTCTTTGCTATGAGTGAAATGAAAAAAAATTTGAGGTAAATATAAGTATTTAAAAAGTATTAAAAACTGAAAGATTTAAAGAATGTTGAGACAACAAACATCACAGGGAAACAAATGAAAACAATAAATAAAAAAAAATCAAGCTAAATCAAAAAATAAAAACAAATAAAACCAACAAAAGGCCATCAAAATATATATGTATTGTTTAGGGTTTTTCACCTTTATTATATAGGACTGTAGAGATGAGACAGGAATACATGGGGAGCAGAGAGAGGGGAAAAGATCGGCAAAGACCTCGAGCCGGGAATTGAACTCGGGTCGCCGTGAGCACCTCAACGCCATATGTCGGCACACGTTACCACTAGACTATTAGCGTTGACAAAGCCATCAAAAATTACTAAAACTCAAAACGAAACAACTAAAAACGATAACCGAAATAAGCAAATGAAAGCAATAAAAATATAGCTAAAACAATATACAATAAAACAATGACAAAAGCAAACCAAAATACTATAATTAAAAAAGAAAGTGCTGACTGAAAAGAAGAAGAATAATACACAAATAAAACCAAATTATAAAAATAAAGATAAGGATAAATATGAATGCTATATCAATAATACAAAACTAATTTAGAATAACGTTTAGCCATTTATTTGCAGTATGTAGTTACAAATGAACAAAATAGAAAGATCAGTCACCAACAAATAATTATTAATTTTCAGCATTCTCAAAACATGTTCTTCTTCTGATTTGGTGGTGAAATATAAGCGCAGACCGAAATATGAACATTAATTGAGTCTGATGTGTAAGCACGGACCGTACCCGTCTCAGCCGTGGCATCGATGCCCACCGTCGCAGCAAACTCAGGCTTATACTGATAATGAACCAGACGCATCTGAGAAATGCGTCGCAGGTTATCGGTTGTGTCCACCTGCGAACACACACACACACACACACATGAAGACAATAGGCCATTACCATACAATAAAAAAAATAATATTCAATATTCACACTAGAGTATATATAGAAAGGTACAAATGCATTAAACATACATAAAAAATACTGAAAAATGTCATAATCATAATATTATATTCAAAATATTCATAAATCCTGTCAATCAAAATGAATCAAAAGTTTTAATAAAAAAGGGTAAAAATAAATGCATCAATAATAATAATAAATTCATACATAAACAAATAAAACAATAAATAAATCTAAATGAAAGGAAATGTTTTTCACTTCTCATATGATGGTCGATTGATTATTTACTCCAGTGGTTCTCAAAGTGGAGGTCGGGACCCCCCGAGGGGTCGCAGGACAATGAAGGGGGGTCGCCTGGTGATTTCCAAAAATCTATTTATTTTTATTAAACAATACGAATGACCACATATTATCCATAACCTACTGAAGAGAAAAAAATGTTATTTATAGTTACTATATACTATATAGTTACTATAGTAGTTTATATTACTATTGGATTTTGGTAATTACATTATACTAAAGACACAGCAATCTCGTCAGATGCAGCAGATTGATTTTATAACACCAGGTTAAACTTTCTGGCACATTTACAGCACTGACATACATTTAAAAAATTAATTGAAGAATAGACTTTGGTCTATTGGTGTGTGTGTGCACCATTGCATGCCAGGTTTCTGTATTTTTAACCGCCTCAGAGGATATTGGGGGTCGCAAGTCACTGGCATTGTCATTTTGGGGGTCACAGGCTGAAAAGTTTGGGAACCCCTGATTTACTCAATCATAAATACGATCAATCAAAAATGAAAATACAAATGAAAGTAATTTTTTTTTTCTTTGCTTAATTTCAGATGTACCTCCTTGACGTTCTCCTTGGCTCTGATGTCTGAGGGATGCACGAGTGAGCCCATGACCTTCACGTTGCCGTGAACGACGAGCGCCTCATCGGGGCGATCCGTGTTGATGCCCACCCGCCCGTGATGGTACACAGAGTCTGGCAGCTGCCCTCGCTGCCACAGCACCTCACTGTCGCTCTCAAACTGACCTGGGTTCGACGCCTGGATGCAGAAGAACAAACAAACAAAAAGCCAAGTAAGACAATGATTTAGTTCAACTACAGTAACTGTAACTGACTGGGAATGCCAGATCTTGTGTTACTGTAAATCCTGGGGTGAGGGCAATATAATATACGGTTTGGACAGTATAAAATGAATGGAAACCTATGTAATGTCCCCACTTTTCACAAAAACAAACGTGTGTGTGTATATATACTGTGTGTGTGTATAAATTTAAAAAATATTTCCATGTGTAATTGTTAATAAATAATTACTATTAGAATAACATATTTTATAAATAAAAAATATATAATTGAAAAAGAAATATCAATAAAAATATATAAAAACAAAACCAAAATATTCCCATGTGTATTTGTTTATATATAAGTTTGTGTGTGTGTGTGTGCGTGTGTGTGTTTGTGTGTGTGTATATATATATATATCGTTAAATATAGTTAATATAAGAGTTTGTTGGAATAAACTTGATTTTCAGTCCTAACAAACAATCACTGATTATTTATTTTGATTATTAGATTGTTGATAATGATTATATTTATTATTAAGGCCCAATCCCAATTCTACCCCTTAGCCCCACCCCTTGGGGTGTCTCAATTATCTTTAGCTTGAAGGCGTTAGGGCTAAGGGTAAGGTGTGAATGGCCCTTCGAGTGAAGATTTTTCAGGACCACACTCCAAACCAAGGGGTAAGAAAATTTCCTAGAATACACCTGCCACAACGGCAGTATTGCTGAACCCGGAAGTAATGAGATGCAGAAATTTGTGTTTTTTAGTCATTATTATGAATTTTTAAGACAAACAAACACATTTTAATATAATTATAACCACGTACCTGTTTTACCATTTTACGCAAAAAAAAAACCTTGCTAACTTTGGCTATCTATAACACATAATGTACAGCAGTCCCACAACATTCTGACACTCGATGACACTGGAATCCCCTGTCAGAAAAGTCTAGTGCTGGGAATGAGCTTTTTACAGTGTCTGCTTTAATGTTCATGTCGTTTTCATGCGTTTACATAGATGAATATGGCCACTGTGTAAATACACAGTACTGTTACGTTCTATTTGCGTTATGATCATTATGATAACATGATACATGCCTTCAGTGATCTCCTGAAGATAAATACCAAAAAATAAAGCAACTGGAATAACTCCAGTAGTCGCGATCGTCTGATCTCATATGAAGCAAGAGGTCGCGATGACATATGATGACGTGTGCAGGTGCTGTAGTGCTGTCCTAATTCTTAGGGGTCAATTTTGAAGCCCCTCCCCTTCACATTTGGTTGTAAAGGCCATGGGGAAGGGGTTGGGGTACAAAAATAAAATTGGGATTGGGCCTAACTCTCATTTTCATAAAAAACCTAAACATAAAATGACAATATTTTATTTAAAAATGTGAAACTCCGAAGAAATGTTACTTCTATACAACACTGTAAAAAATACAGGGCTCCACACAATTCCTTCATGTTGTCCCAACACAAATCGATTAAGTTAACTTAGCACCTAACAAATTTATGTGGATTGAACATAAAAAATTAAGTTGTCCGAATGAAATCTCAAGAATTGTGTTGTTTCAGCTCATATTAAATAAGTAGTTTGAGCGGCTAAATAAGTATCTGAGTGAATAAAACCATATTAACCTTTTCCTCAAACCTATATCTGATAAACACACGATCTGCACCAACAGAACTGTGATCTCTTAACAACAAAATCATTTAAAAACACCATTAAAACTCTAACACACACACACACACACACACCTGAGTATAAATGTAAATAAAAGAGACGGCAAATCCAAACTAGAGGCAAACGTAAACAAAAACAAAAGCAGCACACTGTAACGGTAACTGTGATTGGTCAGAGGCAGATGATTGATAGACAGAGACAGGCTGTGATTGGAGGAGGTCGGTCAGACACGACCAGACTGACAGCGGTTACCCTGACGATGATCCTCTCGGAGACGTGAGCCGCCACACTGAAGCTCTGACTGTGACACTGAGCCTGCAGAGACACCACCAGCATGAAGTACCTGACGACACACACACACACACACACACATAGTTATGCGATATGCAAGTATTGATATTGAAAAGCCAGAGCTTATTGGGTATAAAATAGAAGATTTACATTCAGTAAACTTCACGATTTTGATTAATAACATTTTTATTTAGTTTGAAACTTAAAATGAAGACCAGACCTGTTTATTCAGATATCTGAGAACAGGAACAAAGAAGGGTCCAATAAAACTGAATTTTTTACTTTCTCTTTCTTTCTTTCTTTCTTTCTTTCTTTCGTGTCTTTTACATTTCTTGTCTGTCTTTCCATCCTTCCTTTCTGTCTTTATTTCTGTCTCTCTCTTTTCTTGTCTGTCTTTCCTTTGTGTCTTAATGCTTATGTTTTTCTTTTATTCTTTCTTTCTTTTCCGTCTTTCCTTTTCTGTTTTTCTTTCTTTCTTTTCGTTTATTTAATTTTCTATTTTTTTATATCCATCCCTCTCTCTCTCTCTTTTCTTTTTCATTCTTTCTTGTCAGTCTTTGTCGTTTTGCTTTCTTCAATTTCTTTTTCCTGTCTTTCTTTCTTTTCTGTATTCATTCATTCATTCATTCATTCATTCTTTCTTTCTTTCTTTCTTTTTTTATTTCTTTCTTTTCTTTAGTTTGTTCTCTGTCTTTTCTTTATTTCATTCTTTCTTTCTGTCACTTTTTGTTTCTTTCTTAATTTTATTCAATCTTTCTTGTCTATCTTTCCCTTTCGTTTCTGTCTTTCCTTCCTTCCCTGTCTTTCTTTCTTTCTTTTTTTTCTTTCTTTCTTTCTTACTTTCTTGTCTCTTTCCTTTGTCTTTTTGCTTTCTTCTCTTTCTTTTTTCAGTCTTTCTTATCTTTATTTTATTTCTTCTTTCTTGTCTGTCTTTTCCTTTCTTGTCTGTCTTTCTTTCCTTCCCTGTCTGTCTGACTTTCTTTCTCTCTTTTTTGTCTCTTTTCTTTGTCGTTTTGCTTTCTTCTCTTTCTTTTTTCAGTCTTTCTTATCTTTATTTTATTCTTTCTTTCTTGTCTGTCTGTCTGTCCTTTTTTGTCTTTCTGGCCTGTCTTTCATTTTCTTTTCTGTCTGTCCTTCTCTTCTCCTTTCATTCTTTCTTTATTTTTTCTTTTTCTTTCTTTCTTTTTTCTTTACTGATATTCTTTTTTCTGTTTCTGTTTCTCTGTCTGTCTGTCTTTCTTTCTTTTCTGTGTTTTTTTGCATTTATTTATTTATTTGTTGAACATTCTAAAACAAACAGTTATAAAAAAAAACTCACAGAAAAATTCAATTAAAAGTTATAAGAAGAAAAAAAGTTCCATAAAAGATAAATCAGAGAACTCTGACTGGACATCCTATTAACATTCCCGAGCGTTAGTTCATAACTCTGAGGAAACATTCAGCAATGTTCAGAGAAACTGTTAGCTAGACGTGTGCTAAATGTGAGTATATGACATATAAATATATTATAACTAAACATAATGATTTTATATAAAGCTGCTATATAAATATGGATATATGGATATATATATAACATGTTCAAATAGAGCTAGTTGGGTTTTCTCAGTAATGGTCATATCTCGCACCTCTGGTCAGGGTTGGGTTTGCCTTTCTTTCTCATGTTATTAGCGGTGGTCTCGCTGAAGTGAAGACGACCCACCGTGACTTTAGTAACCTGCTCTGGCGGCAAAGTCACTCTGTAAAACAAGCAGTTGACATTTACATCACACAACAGCTTCAATACACACACTCGCAGAAACTAGTTTAAAAGACTCACAGCACAGGTTTGAAGGGTCTTTTGCTGCGGTCAGACTGAGACTGCTCCACATTAATGGACTGATTCATGGCTTCCAGCTGAAACAAACACACACACAAATACAGTAAGAAAGCATTTCTAGTAGGGTTAAACGTTTTTAGAGCATAATCTAATTGCGATAACATTTTTAACGAGTACTGCAATTGCAAATTAATAAGCATTTTTTTAAAAGCTCTTTGTTTCTTTATTGATCAATAAAGACAAGAAATATTTAATTATTTAACAACCTTCTTAAAATAACAGTTCACACTTTAACACCACACAAAAATAAATGAAATCATAATTACTCAATTGTATTTGTTTTGGTTTTTTCCCCCAATGCATGTAAACTAACTTGATGTCAAAATGACATCAAACTGACATCTAACATTGGCATAAGAAAGCGTAATCTATGACGTACAGTTGAAGTCAGAATTATTAGCCCCCTTTTAATTTTTATTTTCTTTTTTAAATATTTCCCAAATTATATTTCACAGAGCAAGGAAATGTTCACAGTATGTCTGATAATATTTTTTCTTCTGGAGAAAGTCTTATTTGTTTTATTTCAGCTAGAATAAAAGCAGTTTTTAATTTTTTAAAAATCCATTTTAAGGTCAATATTATTAGCCCCTATAAGTTACATTTTTTTTCGATAGTCTACAGCAGTGGTTCCCAACCTGGGGTCCGCGCCCCCCTAAGGGGGGCGCCAGAGTTCACAGGGGGGGCGCGGGAGAGGATAAGTATTGAGGTAGAAAAAGGCATAAAAATGGTCCACTATTATAAAGGGCTTTGCAATTAATCGAAAATCCGATTTAGATTTCGGTTTCAAATGATTATAAAAAAGCATTAATCGAGATAATTGATTATTGCATCATATTTCGCCACAGTTATACACGTGTTGCTCTTAAAAGCGCGAAAGAGCTTATGTGTGTGTGCAGCACAATCACGCAGTCAGAAGCATGCGCAGATCAGCATTCACTCTCATTCACACACTGAGACGAGCAGAGGAGCGCAGACATCTAGTCATCTTAACGTGAACGCTTTAATGGTCAAATAGGTGTCAAAACGCAGTGTTTAGTGATTATTTACATTAACCCTCATTTGTGTAATAAACAAACGAGTTGAGGATCAAAAGACGTGAAAGAGAAACCATTAAAGATACAGCGCGCTATAATCCTTCTGCCGCCTGTTTTTATCATTATTAAACAAACATAACGAGAAAGCCCTCGCTGCTCTTGACTGAAGGACTGCTGTAGCTAAAGTGTTTTTCTTACAGTGAAGATGCTTAAAGCACAGTTTGTTTCATATTTTTATTCTATTGTATTTATTTCTCTTTCCTTTGCAGGGTGGAAAATAACTGTATGTATACAGTTGAAGTCAGAATTATTAGCCCTCTTGAATATTAGCAAACCTATTCCTGCCCAATTTCTGTTTCGTGGAAAGAATATTTTATTAACTTATTTCTGAACATAATAGTTTTGATATCTCATTTCTAATTACTGAGATTTCTTTTTGTCTTTGCTATAATGACAGCACATAATATTTTACTAGATATTTTTCAAAATACAAGCATTCAGATTAAAGTGCAGTTCAAAGGCTTAATTAGAGTAATAAGGCAAGTCATTATAACGGTAGTTTATTCTGCAGACAATCAAAAATATATATTGCTTAAAGGGGCTAATAACTAAAATAAAACAAATAGAAGAAAAAATATTATAGGAAATACTGTTAAAATTCCTTGCTCTGTTAAACATAATTTGGGAAATATTTATAAAAAAAAAATCTCAGGAGCGCTAATAATTTTGACTTTAACTGGCAATGGTTTTGAATAATCGTGATTACAATTATGACCAAAATAATCGTGATTATGATTTTTCCCAAAATCGAGCAGCCCAAAAAATAAAAAATAATCTAAACACATGCTTAAAATTCCAACATAATAGTGAAAATAATTAAAATAAATAACTTTAAATAATTATTTAAATTTTGCTCACTCGCGCAATCTGCTTGTCAACGTGTAGTAAAGGCAAAATCAAAACAAAAATGGCAGACAAACGTAAATGCAGTGATTCTTCAGAGGCGAAGAAAAAGATTAGACAGTATGACAAAGCTTACCTAAATTTTGGTTTTATTGAAGGCCAAGACAAGTTAAAACTGATTAATTAATATTTTCTAAACATATTACTATTTATTAATATTACACACACACACACACACACACACACACATATATATATATATATATATATATATATATATATATATATATATATATATATATATATATATATATATATATATATATATATATATATATATATATATATATATATATATACAGTACATATGTGTGTGCGTGCGTGCGTGTGTATTTATATGGTGGGGGGGCTCCAATGTTTGTATATGTTTATGGGGGGGCCCCAAAGAAAAAGGTTGGGAACCACTGGTCTACAGAACAAACCAACATTATACAATATCTTGTATAATTACCCTAACCTACAAACCTAGTTAAGCCTTTAAATGTCACTTTAAGCTGTATAGAAGTGTCTTGAAGAATATCTAATCTATAGGTTACTACTGTAAGAAAATATCAGCAGGTGGTTCATAATTTTAGTATTACCTTTGCTTGAAATGAGTCGATCTAATCCTGTTTATATGAAATAAATCTGCTCCCGAGCCGGTTTGAGCTACCAGACATATTGCTATGACAACAACTCTTGGATGAGTTTTGAAGAACGAAACGATCCTGGATCATGTCAAATCGTCAATAACAAAACCCAGCTAATTGAGTAATTCACGTACGAAGAACAAACCCCAGACGTGAGTTTCAGCAGATTTTGTGTGATTTGAACGTTTATAAATGAAACTAAAGAGACAGTTCTTGTTTAATTTTATTGGTGATTCCTAATATGAAATTTAATGGTAAGCTTGGCAAGCAACTTTGGAGAATTTAATGTTTCCCCATTGAAACAGAATGCCAAAGCATAGGCGTTTTAAGGATGGTCACTGACTGTAATGACTTGCCTTGACATAGCCTCAGTTAAATGTTTGGGATTGTTAGCATAAGTAGTGTGGCAGTTTAGTGTTAGTTTGGCTCACCTTGACTCCGTTGAGCTTCAGGTAAAAGCAGTCGATGGGCTGCAGGCCGTCGCTGGTCTTCACGTATTTGGGATCTCCGGGCATCCCGATGTAGACGGTCACCTGAAAGTGGTTCTTCTTCTGGCACACAAACGCATCGTCAGCCAGGGAGAAGTTGAAGCCTTTATCTGCGTCCACTCTATAGGTGGGCATCGGACTGAGAAACATGAGAGAAAGACAGATATGAAGAAGAGAGTTTTATTTCTGTTTATCGGAAACACATTTCTAAGCATAATAGCTTTAACAACTCATCTCTAATAACTGATTTATTTAATCTTTGCTATGATGACAGCACATAATATTTGACTTGATATTTTTAAAGATACCAGTATTCAGCTTAAAGTGACATTTAAAGGCTTAACTAGGTTCGTTAGGCAAGTAATGCTGAGTGCAGACTGCATGATTTTGACTCGCCGACTGGTTTTGAGAAATCGCAGACAAATGTCTAAAATCACAAGCAAACCAGTGCTTGTTCATGCCAGCAACAATAACACAATGTGAACTATCAAAGACGTGATCTAAGACAATCACCAATGAGTCACTGACACCGGTGAGATATTTGGCATGCCAGGACCGGAGTGGGACTCTTTTTCAGCCCTGGAGTTTCAAGCCTTAGACCGGCCCACCTCAGTTCACGACTGACTATATTAAAATAAGGTCATTTCCAATTAAGTTTCTAATGACACTATCATGTCTTTTTTTGAGAAAACAGCTGCTTTAGAACTTCAAATGTTCAACAACCCTTACTGTATTATATGTCTTAACAATAAAAATGAAAAAAATATATGTTACTCAGGCGAGGACCGAACCCGGGTTGGCTATGTCATAACCTAACGTGCTAACCACTGTACCACAACGGCTGTACATTAAGAGGTGACTTATCTACTTACATCTATCTTATCTACTTATATTGTTCACAAGGCTATGAGAAAATAGATAAGAAGAGCAGAGCTGCAGTAAAATAATGAATAAGAAGGCTGTGGTCAAGTAAATAAATAAATTATTTTTAAAAAGTGTGACTGCTGAGAGCAACAGATTCTGGAGCTAGGGACACCGGCCCTAGCGGCCAAAAAACGGACCGGCCCACCGGGAATTCTCCCGGTCCTCCCGATTAGCCAATCCGGGCCTGTGGCATGCTAAATATCTGGAGCTGTCGGCGATTCAAATCATGTTTGAAATGTGTTCTGACTGAAAAAAACATTGGTGATTAGCCAATGAGAGAGAAGCATCCACTAGTGTGGGTATCTGCTGGCCAGCGGGAGGTTGTGGGAGAAGTTAAAAGCCCCAAAAATGGAGGAAAAACTAGTGTAAATTGGCAGAAGCACTGTGTCTGTTTGACCTGTCATCTAACCAATATCATAACTGATTTGAAAAAGAGAGAAGTCAAGAAGAATATGCTAATTCCCTTTAAAAGCCAGGTGAGCAAAATAAGTAGATTTTCAACCCCACTAAAGGCTTCCGTCTCATTATGTAGTTAATAACAAAAGATATACTACATGACTTGGCGTTGTTTTCATGTCACTTCTCGCATGTATTTGGTTGTGAGATGTAGTTCGCCCCTGTCGAGACAAAGTTGTCAGTGATTCTTCCTATTAGGTTGCATGGTTTACCGGTACTTCAGCAGCACCGTGATATTATGGCACCAAAATCCTGGCAATGCCTCTTTTAAATGGTAGAATCGTCATTAACAGTTCTCAAATAGTTAATGTTGCATGTGAAAAAGTTACTAAAATGCGCGCAAAGGTAAATAATCAATAGGCCACTTAATCAATTTTATTTTAATAATCTGCATTAAGGCTGCAAAACTGTGCAGAACCTGCGCCTTTTTTTCTGAAGCTTGAAACACTTCTTGTCTTCTTGTAACGAATTTCGCTTGGTATATTTTCTATTATAGTATCTTAATTTTAATGTATTTTTGTTGGTCAGTTATCTACAGAGTGAAGTTTATTTAAATTTCGAGAGGATCGCATGCTTATGATTGTTCACAGCTGATCCAGCATTAGCTCATGACTAATTATCCTATCAGACGATTCTAAACTCGTTATAAATATCTAGATTTTTCTAATCTCAATATCTTCATATTGAAGAAGCCCCCCCACCCAACCCTACTTTCCCTTCTTTCAAATGGGCGACAGGGTGGCCAGTGATTAGCGCTGTTGCCTCACAGCAAGGATACCCCTGGTTTAATTCCCTTCCAAACCATGCGACATTTCTGTGCGGAGTTTTGCTCGTTCTCCCCGAGTCCTCCGGTTTCCTCCCACAGTTCAAAAACAAGCACCCTGAACAATTAATCTAAAACATCTTTAGCCAAGCTCTGAGTACACCTCTTCTTAGCATCCATATATGACACTTAGCTACAATAAGCAAGGGGGGAGTCATCGAGATCTACCTGAGCTCAAACTCCCCTCTCGCCTTGCAATGGGAGGGAGCCCAGGGCTCGAGGATTTTATAAGCTCAGGGCTTTCTCTCAGGACAGCATGCCAAACAAGCTTTATTATTAATCATCAGCTGAGTGTAAACTCTTGAAATAAACGAAAAAACAAGTAAGATTTGAGGTGAAGTGACGTGCGACAAAAGCTGCTATTTTTCCACGGCCCAAACACAAGCGGTTTAACAAAAGTGAAATATTCAGAATTTAATTATAAGTATTATAGTATTTCTGACTGTTTGCTTTATTGCATAGATTTGAGTTATGAGTTGATACAGTATTGTGATACTACTTTGTATTGTGATACTTCAGCTGGTATAGTATCATGGGCCTGCAACTCTACGTCCTATTGTAAAGTCATGCAGTGTGAAACCTCCTGTTGCAGATCCATCTTGCAGTGTAAACCCAGCAGCAACGGAACGTTCCCCTAAATAGTAATGCAGTGTAAAAACATCTGACGCCACTACTTTGAAAATCGTCCCGTCTGAACTCAGCATTAGAGTAATTAGGCAAGTCGTTATGTAATGATAGTTAGACAGTCCAAAACAAATATTGCTTAAGGGGGCTAATAATATTGACCTTAAAATAATTTAGCCTTTAAATAGATTTAAAAAAATTAAAAACTGCTTTTATTCTAGCTGAAACAAAACAATTAAGACTTTCTCCAGAAGGAAAAATATTATCAGACATACTGTGAAAATGTCCTTGCTCTGTTAAACATCATTTGGCAAATATTTAAAAAAGAAACTAAATATCACAGAAGGGTGAATAACTCTGACTTCCACTGTATATTTATAAATTATATTATAGTATTTGTCTCTCTCTCTTCTTTCTCTATCTGTGTTCTCTCTCTTTCTGCCAGATCTCTGCTGTTTCTCTCCCTCCTCCGCACTGCTCACCTCTCAGGAATTCTCCATCCATCTCTCTCTCTCTCTCTCTCTCTCTCTCTCTTCAGTACAGCCTGATACCTCCCTGTACCCCATTAAATCCCATCCCTCATGCCTCTGTCATAAATCTAAGGTGTGTGTAAAAGCAGCACCCACAGCTCTTTCCCGCTGGAGTCGTATAGCGTGGTCCACTTGTTCTGCTGGTGTGCCTGCCACTTGATGCACTGGTAGTTCGGGTCCAGGTATGAGTTTTCTGCGTCCTGCATCAGGCCTGTGGTGGAATGATTGTGCGTGGGTTATACTGCGGTGTATATGCAGTTGCTGTTTTTAAGTATGTGTGTGTGTGTGTGTGTGTGTGTGTGTGTGTGTGTGTGTGTGTGTGTGTACCTGGCTCTTGTTTGATCATGCCTGTGAGCATCTGAGAGTTGAGTGTGTTGTTGGGAGAGTCTGAATGTTTTCTCTTCTTTGCCGGATGGACGGGCATCCCACTGGAGAGACATGGAGTGTGTGTTTAGTGATGTGGGAAATGTGGTGACAAATAAAATAAAATCTAATAAAAAAAATCTAATCAAATCAAATATACAAAGTAAAATCAAATCATTTTTATTAGTCACACCTTTATATTAAATCCAATCATTAACATGGAGTCCAGATAAATTTGTGTAATGTGTGTATTTATATAGCTCATTTATTGTGTATTGCCATACACACAAAGCCCTTCACAATCATGAGGTGGGTCACACCACCAGTGTGCAGCATCCTCTTGAAGATGTGACGGCAGCCACAGGAGAACAGCGTCAGTGTGCTCACCACACACTAGCTATAGGTGGAGTGGAGAGACAGTGATAGAGCCAATTTAGTGTACGGAGATGATTGGGAGGCCATGATTGGCAAGGGCCGATGGAGAGAACTTGGCTAGGACACTGGGGTTACACCCCTACGTTTTAAGAGAAGTGCCATGGGATTTTAAATGGTTTAAAATCTCATCCAAAAGACGGCGCTCACTGACAGTATAGTGTCCCCTTCACTATACTGGGGCATAAGGACTCACACAGACCACAGGTTGAGCGCCTCCTGCTGGGCTTACTAACACCACTTAATAAAATAGTCTAAAATTAAATAAAATAAAATAGTTATACTTTTTAAAATTAAAATTGTTTATGCATTACAATTGAATTCAGTTTAATAAAAGTGAGTCTAAAATAAAAAAATACATAAATGTATAAATGTTTTTATACTTTAAATTAATTAAAGTAATAATCTAATATAAAATAAAATAAATAAATAAATAAAACTCCAGATAAATAAAATGAAGTCTAAAATAAAATAAGATAGGTATATTTTTAAATTAAATTAATTTACAATTGAATCCAGTGTAATAAAAGTGAGTTTAAAATGAAATAAATAAATATTTTTCATACTTTTAAATTTAACGTAACCATTACACTTTTAAATATTTAAATATTGTAAAAAATAAATGGATAAAATAAATAAATGAAATAAAATATTTTTTTATACTTTTAAATTAAACTGAAACCTTAACATGGAGTCCAGATAAATAACAGGGAGTCTAAAATTAAACTAAACTAAGCTAAATTAAATTGAATTAAATTAAGTTGTTACACATATAGTCCAAAAGTGAGTTCAAAATAAATAATAAATAAAATAAAATATCTTTTAAACTTTTAAATTAAATTAAACCATTAACATGGAGTCCATATAAATAACAGAGTGTAAAAGTAATTAAAATTAAATAAAATTCTCATACATAAAGTCCAGATAAATAGTCCAAAATAAAATAGGTATATTTTTTATTTTAAATGATTTAACCATTATAACTGAGTTCAGTTTAATAAAAAGTGAGTTCAAAATAAAATAAAATAAAATAAAATATTTTTCATACTTTATTTATACAATATTTTATTTATACGTTTAAATTAAACTAAACCATAAACATGGAGTCCAGATAAATAACATGGAGTCTAAAATAAAGTAAAACAGTTATACATGAAGTCTAGTTAATTAAATAAAACAAAATAGATATATTTTTAAATTTAATTTAACCATTATAATTGAGTCCAGTTTAAGAAAAGTGAGTTCAAAATAAAATAAAATAAAATATATTTCATACTTTTAAATTTATTTAACCATTAAAATTGTATCTAGTTCAACAAAATGTCCAAAATATTGTAAAAAATATAGTAAAAAAATAAAATAAAATAAATAAATAAAATAAAATGAGACACATGTTGATAAGTGCTTACATTAATAACTTAACTAAATAATATTAAACTAAATAATATTTCTTAATAGTCTAAATCTAACGTTAACGTTAAATAAAAAATCAAGATTGAAATGCCTTTTTTTACCTGGAGTTGATGAACTACATGTTTTTTAAAGAGTGTATTAGTACGATATAATGTATACAAATAAATCAATAAATAAAAAACAATTAAACAAAACCAGGGGGCAAAAACTCACTATAGATATACACACAATATAGAAGAGTGTAAAAATAATATGTAGTAATATGTTATTAATGCATTTAAACTATTTCCAAAATATAATGTACTTACAAAAAATGCAAGTATACAAAAAAATTGCTAATAAATAATTCGTTTTTGAGATTAAAATAAAATAAAATGTAATAAATAAAAATGTGATGGACTAAAATAATACAATGCAAACAAAAAATATATATAAATGTTTTTAAATATAATATAAAGGCTATAAATGTATAAATTAATATTTTTGATGTTAAAAGTGTATTAAAATTAATCACACGTGCTCTTCGAAGTAAATAATCCTGATCACAGTCGTACAGCTATGAAAGAGTGTTAAATTAATGCTTCGGTGTGTCTTACTCTGGTGTTTGTGGATGTTGAAGGAGTTGATGAAGCATCTGAGTCTGCTGCATGTCTCCGCCCCCGCCGCTAGCTGGACCAATCGGATACTGCGAAATCATGGGCTCTGGCTTCAGGTACATGTCCCGGTGCATGCTGGGATAGTGTGGATGTGTTTGTAGAGGCGGAGGACTGGTCATGTGACACATGTTCTCAGGCGTCATCGTTCTGAGCATGTGCGGATCTGAGAGGGAAAAACAAAGAAGCAGCGGATATTCGATGAATAATTGGAGCCATTACTTTTATTTAACATTATAGTGTTTGAAATTATTTTTGAAGGTACCGTTAGCTTGCTGGGGTGAGTATGGCTCTGAGCTGGAGTCCGGAGGAGACTCGGGTAGCGTTCTGCGAAGAATAAAACATTTTACACGCATAAAAATAGCTAATAGTTCTTAGCATTAGGACTGCACAATATATCGTTTCAGCAGCGATATCGCAATATGATCATTCGCAATAGGCACTGTTGCAATGTTGAGTTTGTGTAACAAGTTATCTTTTTCACGTTTTTTTGTCTCCTGTGATTGTATAATGATATTCAAAAGCATTCAGGTATAAGAAATTGTACCATTTGTGACCTTAACTACGATTAATTTTATTGAATTATTTTTATTTGTAAAAATTCGTTACTGTACTTGAATATTGTTAGACTCGTAAAACAATAAAACACTTTATTTTAATTGTATCTTTTTCTTGATTGTATTTATAAATTGTTACGCATGAAAATACAACACGTGCAAATACAGAAATGCACTTCAAATAGCACAAACCACAACGAAAAAGTGTCGAGGAACCCCAAAAAGTTTCTAGATTGTTTATTAGATATTGTCACAAGGCAGACGCTGACGAAGGAAATGCGGATCCAAACGCATGTTTATTATGCAGAGGTGGTCAGGCAAGCAACGGTCAACACACGAGCAAACAGATGTAAACAGGGAATCCAGAGTCATGGTCAAATAACAGGCAATGCTGGCAGGCAGCAGGCAACGTAAACAAACAAGCAAAGATCGGTACATGGCAGGACAATACAAGGAAAACGCGTCATAATGTTAACTAGACAGATAAACAAGACTCAGCCCAGGTGTGTGTGTGTGTAGTATTTAAAATCCACGTTATCATTTCAAAACGACCCTCTGGCTGTGTGTGTGCTCATCAACGGAACTCGAAACAGGTGCGTGTGAATGGAGTTTATGTGTGGAGTTGTAGTCCATTATGTGGCGGATTTGTAGTTCTTGCTTCCCAACAATCTGCAACTGCTAGATTGCTGGTGATCAAACCATTACAGAGATGCAATATGGAATAAAATCACTGTCATAAATATTTTGTGCGCAAATAAAATTTACGAATCCGTAATTATAAATTTGTAAAAGAAAAACAGAACATACTTGTAATTTTATGAGGGTACATTTACAAAAACTGCGATTAGAATAGACACAGATGCGACATTTTCTTTGTCTGTTTGTAAGTGACTGATTAATTTACGATGGGTGTACTTTACAAGCACGAAATACAGTTTTACTATGGACATAACCTGATTACAAGTACAAATTGTCAAATGTCAAATTGAAGAAGTCATAATGACGTCACCGCTGTCACAGGCATTAATAAACAAGCGAGAGTCATTGATCACAACGGTGCGCCTGTTGGACACTCGAGCCCCCACACATCGTCTCAGGTAAGATTTTTGTTATTACCTCTTTGAGAAGTGTCCGTCATGAGCTGTAATAAAGGTTGAAACTTAATAAGGTCCATTTTTGCTGTGTTCCTTGGACATTTTACAGAATCAAAAATAACAACGGACCGAGGATAAGTAAGCATAATGTAAGTTGACGTTACAGGCAACGAGCGCAGAATTTCTCTGTGAATCACTTAACGGTGTTTAACTATAACATAACATCTGTTGATTAAGCAACCAAAAGTCTATAAAATTAGTTCGAAGAAGTATGAATCTGCCTTTACTATATCAGTGAGTTACTATACTGCTACAGTATGTCAGTTTAGTATGATCAGTATGTTACATAACTGCCCCCTGCTGGTCATGTATTTCTTGGGTTTGACCATGGCTGTTTCTCAATATGCGAATATTCTTCAGCAGTCTTTCGTCCTCATGTCCTCGTGTAACGTCATCATCAGCTGCCAAAGTTCAGTTCCAGTACTCCAGACCGCAAGAACAGAGGATGCGTGAAAACTTCCCGAATGTGTTCTTGATATCGAGGACACACCAATGCAGACTTGGCAACAATCTCGCTCTAGAAGTCCCAGAAGTCTCATTGCGACTGGAGGTGGGAAGCGCAGCTTTTATATAGGTTTATTATAAAAGTACAGAGATATGACTTATTTTCCTCAGGAGTTTCCCCAAATGAGACGGTGAATATAAACATTACCATGAACATCTTAATAAAGGAATAAACACATTAAGAGTGTTTATTTGCTGAAATTTGTATTAAAATCTGTTTTATTTGTATCGTGCAACTTATTTATATAATGTTTTTATGCACAGTATATGTTTTGAAATGGGAAAAAACTATAAAGCGCTGTATGAATGCTGTAATGTTTAAATAATATTCCATTAAAAACACTTAAAGGTCACATGACCATCAGAAAGAACGCAGTGTCTCATTTCTCACAGGACGCGTTCTCTGTCCTCACGGCCTCCCGAGTTCGTTCTTCCGAGGACACCTGGCAAGACCGGTCTCCAGAAGAACGCAAGTCCGTTCTCTGCATTCTTGTGCTCTGCCGCAGTTTACTGAAGTTGCGTGTGGGACCACTTTAGATCACTTGTGCACTCTCAGTAGCCATATCTCTAGTCTGAAGGATATCTATATGCTTATGTGCTTTGAAACAGTAACAAAACTAGCATATAGAAAATATAAATATTCACCAAAGAATGCACCAAGTTGCAGTTTGTCACTTCCGCCAAAATGGATAGGTTTTGTTTTGATGTCACCTCATACTTTAGTTTCTTTTCAAATCTCCTGACAAATCAAATGCTCTCTAGTGTCTAACATTTCAAAGCACTTTATGAGACTTTAAGGGCTCTATTTTGACGGTCCATGCACAGAGCGCAAAATGCCGGGCGCAAACGCTTTCAGGGCGTGTCAGGACGCGTTTTTGCTAATTTAAGGACGGGAAATCTGCCCTGCGCCGCGGCGCATGTTCTAAAAGGGTTGAGTTTATTTTCTTAATGAGTTATAGGTGTGTTTTGAGAATAAACCAATTAGAGTCTCATCTCCCATTGCCTTTAAGAGCCAGCTGCGTCACGCCAAGAGCGCATTCGCTATTTACAGGACGCAGAGTAAGTCTAAGTGGAAAAAATTAACATTTCACAAGCAAACAGTCAACAGATAACAGTTTTTTAACAGAAAACAGTTAAACAGAGCATCTACTGCGTGAGAATAAGAGATAATGGATCTACTTTCACATTCGCTCTTGGATAGGGAAACCTTTACGCACAGACATCAATTAGTCTATAAATAATTCATTGCGTTTGTTAAGCGTAAATATTCATTTAAAACTATTTCTAAATTCACTTCTAATTTCCAGCAAACGAATAAATGAATAATAATAACAAAATGTGCTCAAAAACCTGAGTTATATCCTAAAACACATGCTGTGCCCCATATGGTCTAAAACCTGACAGGTGGGCAAATCTAAGCTTGTTTTTAATAAAACAAATATAAATATGGATATAATAAATAATGCTGCTAATAATAATAACATTATACAAAAGCAAATTGTTATGAATGAACTGAAAAAGCCTCCCGAGATGAAGAAGACATAAAAGCAGTGATTTTTCATATTTATGTACAGTAGGCTAGAAAATAATGTTTTGTAATATTTTAATCCTTTATTTTTATATTCTATATCTATTCTTATTATATACTATATATATATCCTTAATATTAAATGTTTTCATATGTAAAGATATTTGTCTATTGCTCTCTTGTGTGTATTAAGCAGTGTGCAAGCGAGGCGCAACTCTGCGCTGGAGTTTAGACCGGGTTAGTTTTGGTCTAATGAAAAATCTATTATAGTTTCTCAAAATAGCAACGCGCCAGCGGTCCACCTCAGAACAGCTTACTTTTTAGACCAGAATGCCTATGGGCGCACATATGAGTGCAAATGCATTTTCTATTTAAACAGCGTAGCGCAACGCCTCAAAAGGACTCTTGCGCCAAGCTGAAACTACCAAAAGACTACTGCTCCGCGCCTTGCGCCACACTGCGCCGGGTGTTAATAGGGCCCTAAAAGTGCGCTCTGGAAGTTTTTTTATGAGCTTTATGAACAGCTCAATCTTACGATCAACATGGTGCATGAAAACGGTGTTTTTGTTGTTGCTATGAACTTGTAAGGTGTTTTAAGTGATTATTAATAAACTGCCTTGTGGTTGCTTATGAATAGGTGGTTTGTTATAGTTTTGCATTGAAAGCAGTCATTCTGGAATCTTATCTGTAGGATTTTCTCATCTGTTTTATGGCTCAGCAGGTGAAAATGGTACAAATGGCCAATTAATAATGTAACAGCACTCATGATTTGAGGAATAATTCATTATGCGAGCACAAACGGATCTGTGTGATGCTTCAGCAAGCACCTCTGGACGTACACTATAAGTGCTGTAGTAAATCAGCTCTTGTTTTAATTGGAGCTCATACCTTTCTAAAGCAGCATTAGTGATTGCGCAGGTCATCAGCACTGAAATATTCATCTTATATATGAGTTCACTCCTTTATCTATCTTATCTGAGCTGCTGAGGCTCATCTGAGGTCATGTGGGCATGAAGAGGAGGGACTTAGAAAAGAGCTGGGGCTTAATCTATGTAGGGGTTGTCGCCAAAATGCTTTATTAGCAATTAATAAATATTTTATATAGCTTAGTCTCTTTATTTGTCAGGGGTTGCCACAGAGCAATGAACTGCCAACTTATCCAGCATATGTTTTACACAGCCAATATTGGGAAACATCCATACACACTCATCCAGACACGCATTCATACACTACGGCCAATTTAGTTTATTCAATTCCCCTATATCGCATGTGTTTGGATATGGGGGAAACCGGAGCACACGGAGGAAACCCATACCAACATGGAGAGAGCATGCAAACTCCAGGCAGAAATTCCAACTGGCACAGCCGGGCCTTGAAACAGCAACCTTCTTGCTGTGAGGCATCAATTCTAACCACTGAGACACTGTGTCACCCCAATTTAGTGACTAGTATATGTGAATTTATGTATTTATGGTTGGGCTGTCTCGATACAAATATAATCAATACAATTTAATATGACATCAACATAAATAGTTATGTTTTGAGATCGGGTTGAATCTGTTTTGTTTCCAATGACCAGTAACATGAGATGCTACTTAAAGTTGATGTACTATGATATTGTAATAAATCTGTGCTATTTGGCTAACGACAACTTTTATTATCAGTATTGTATTATTAGTATTATTGCATATTTTTTTACTAATTTGGTGCAGATATAGTTTAGGGCCAGCCTTTTTTTGATACTAATGATTTTTGGAAAATGTATTGTTGTTTTTCCCCTTAGAAATCATGCATTTACATCATTCATTCATTCATTTTCTTGTCGGCTTGGTCCTTTTATTAATCTGGGGTCGCCACAGCGGAAGGAACCACCAACTTATCCAGCACGTTTTTATGCAGCGGATGCTCTTCCAGCCACAACCCATCTCTGGGAAATGCATTTACATCAATTTAAACAAAATAACCACCTGTTCAAATAAAATAATAATAATAATAATAATAATAATAATAATAATAAAATAAGAAACAATAAGAGGAAGAATAGTAAAAATAAAAACATTTATTTATTTAAAAAAAAAAATATATATATATATATATATATATAATATATATATATATATATATATATATATATGTATATATATATATATGTATATATATATATATATATGTATGTATATATATATATATATATATATATATATATATATATATATATATATATATATATATATATATATATATATATATATATATGTATATATTTATACAACAGTTCTGTCTGGTTCTCGAATCTGATTGGCTGATAGCCGTGATATGTTTAAGTAATATCAGCACCCGTACAGCCTCTTTACCCTTTGTGTATTACTCTGCCCACATACAGCCAGCAAAAAGCAGACACTACAGATCTAAAGTTTAAAAGATGCTTCCTCAAGTGTTTAACTGTCAGCTTATGATTTGATTCCAATGTGGAAGACAGTAGTTTCTCATACAAAAGGGTTTTTGAGACTCTCCATGTTTGATTTTGTTTCTATATACACAATTATGCCGTCAAACTGTTGTATAAACGCAATATCACACTCGTAGCAGTGCGATTTGGCTGTATATCGGTACTGGTTGGGGCACAACACAATTCGCCATTTTTATTGACGAATGTAACACTGATGTTTATTAATGGCCAATTTTCTCGTCTTACCCTGGTGCGTACTGTCCGCGGTGATCCGGCTTGATGTTTTGGGTTTGCTGCTGCCCCAGACAGGGGTAGTTGTGTCTGATGTGACCCAACGGCGGTGCACCCGGGTAGGGGTTCTGGCAGGACTGGGACAGGGATGGGACGGTGCTCTGACGCAGGGGGATTGGGGGGCTCACGCCACACCCTACCCCCCCTGAAGAGGACGCCCCTGCCTGGGCAGAGGAGAACTGTGGTGCTGGGCCGCTGTGGACCTCCGTGAAACAACTGAAGGAGAAAAACCAAAGCACCCGTAATGATTGATTCTCATTAAAATAAGCCTGTAATAACACCGAGAGCAGCACCGACTGTTACGTGTTCTTACATGTCAGCGCTGTCGTCCTCTTTGCTGATGTATTCCTCCAGGATACTGGTGTCAATGTTTGCTGGCTCCAAAGAGCTGTTAATATCATGACCTGCAGGAGAAAATAAGAGGCAGAAAAAGGTAAAAGATGAGAGGGAGAGAGGAGGATGAGTATCGTGTTCCTACGCACAGTTTCTGCAGTGATAAAACAACAGTTTCACAACAACATCATTTATTTTCCCTTTTTAGTTTGATGATTTTATTTTTTTGTGGATTGCAAAACCTTGGGTTATTTGTTCGCTGGTGTAATAGATAAATGAATGATGTATGTTCTATTCAGGTCAATAAAAATGTACAGTTAAAGAGTAAATTATTTTAATTTTGTATTTTTTATTTTATTTTAAATAACATTTTAATATTTCTTTATTTTGCCATGAGTAAAAAATAATACATTTATATATGAGCAATTTAACACGACTTGCAGTGTGATATGGCTGTATATCAGCACTATTGGAAGGCGTGCATTGGCTTGAGGCTGCACGCTGAGTGTCTTAGTGCTCCACCAGTAATGATATACAGGCATATCACACTGCTACTCGTGTGATGTAGCATTTATACAGCAGTTCAACGACACAATCATGTGAATAAAAAAGAAAATCACACACTTCCACTATTCATATACATCTGCAGCTGATGTCAGAACAGCAGAAACCGTTGCTACTTCACAATCGTCACTTTAGAGCTAGTGTTTGAATGATTCTCTAGCGTAATGTCTAAAGTGATGACAAAACAGATGATTTTGCGCACATTTTAAGATTATAAGGCTGAACGGCATGAAATGCCATCAGTCTACAGAGATTTCCCAGTATTTCTCTGTTGCAATCGGAAGATTGCAATAATTAACCCCCAAAAAGCCAAAGCAAAGTAAACACTACCAGATCACTGTGGTATAAATACAGCACTAAAACATACAAGAGAGAAAGATCGACTTGTAATGCCAATTACCTGTTCTGTAATAATTTGTTAGGCAGTAGTTTGAAATGTACACTGAAAAAATGATTTTTTTTTTCTCCCCTAAGGACTAATTATGCGGTCTCTGTCGCCATCTTGTGGCGGAACGTCAATCGTCTTTGCTCTGCTCAGTATGACAGGCTGATGGCAGCCAATGTGCTGAATCTCCGAAGTTATGAATATTTAAAATAGGCACTATCCTTATAAATAAACGGCATAGTTGTAATCTAATCAACTACATTTTTGCTTAAAAAAGCCTAATAATATTATTATCCCACCTAAAAAAAAAAGAATTCTGATTAAAAAAAGTCAAATAAAACTTAAATATTAGAATTTAATTTTATTATATGTATTTTAAAAATATTATTGCAAAATTACAATAAGTAAACAAGTAAATAAAGTTGAATTTTGAAAAGGCTATTATTAAATTATTATTAAAGAAAATTTTGAACCCATATGAACATTATGTTGGTTAAACTATTTTAGAACCAATTTAAACAATTTTGTACAAAAATTCAAAAAAAAAAAAAAAGATTTAAAAATAACGTATATAAAAACCAAAATTTTTGTTGGAAAGAAAATGACATCCATCCATTCAAGTACGTTCAAACATCAACAACAGAAACCGTACAAGAACTACACAAAGCAAGCAAACAAAGGAGAAAAAGAAGGGAATCAGCAAGAGGTCAGGTGGAGGTGGAGGTGTAGCTGAGACCCCATTAAACCCCTGATCTCTCTCTCTCTCTCTTTGATAGATTAGGCCACTAACGAAAGCGGAATGTGAAGAATTCCAGTGTTAGTGTTGGGAAAACTCTCTGGTCCATCAGCCTCCCACATCCCAACCCAAACAGGCAAAAAACATCACAAAACACCATGACCCAGGACAGGTCTGATCCACCTGTGAGTCCTCAAAGACCTCATCTGTACACGTGAGTTTACTTCACTCTAGTTCTCGCAAAAGTATCCATATTTTAATATGTATAGATGCTAACATTTTCGAAACAGTAGAATATCACTTCTCCAACGTTTACCAGGGTTCTGCACTCGTTTTGTCCTCATCAATGCACATGTTTTCAAATACTTTATTTATTCATTCATTCATTTTTCTTCGGCTTAGTCCCTTATTTATCAGAGGAATGAACCACCAACTAATCCGGCATATGTTTTAAGCAGTGGATGCCCTTTCAATCGCAACCCAGTTCTGGGAAACGCCCATACACTCTCACATTCACACACTCAAACTCTTTAGTTTACCCAATTCACCTATATCGCATGTGTTTGGACTGTGGGGGAAACCGGAGCACACCAACACGGGGAGAACATGCAAACTCCACACAGAAACACCAACTGGCCCGGCCGGAACTCAAACCAGCGACCTTCTTGCTGTGAGGTGATCGGACAATACTAACCACTGTGCCACCATGCCACTTACACACATAACTTAAGAGAATAGGGACAAATCTTTTAGACCATGCGCTTGGTGCAACGACTGTTTTTCATGTCCTTAAAATAGTAAAAGTGGATTCAGAAGTGCTTCTGCGCTTTACACCTTGAGATTATATGATTTAAATAGAGTGTTTTAGTCACACAAAAAAACGTTGTTGTGCAAACAAACAGGCAAAACCTAAAAAAAACAACCTTTTTTTTATGTTGTCGCGTAAACAAACCTTATTTCAATTCAAATTTTGGCCGGCCAAGTGAAAATCTTGCTAGCCATGCTTGCGATTTTAACCATCCAAATAAATTATAAAGATGAAGGTATAAAATGAAGACATTACATTAACATTGTACTTTTAAATAATTCTATGGCAATATTTCCTTGTGGCATTAAAAACGCTATCAACTGTCAATGTTTTTTAAGGATATCATTACCGTATCAAAGATTCAAGATTAGAAAATTCCACAAATTTCAACTTAAAGGGACAGTTCACCCAAAAAGTGGCTCTAAGCTTTTATAAATTTCTTTCATCTTAGAACAAAAAATAAGCGAAGTTTAATATATTAAACTAATTTCGAGAGGAGTATGCACTCATGATTGACCCAGCTGGCTCATATTAGTTAATCACAATCCTCCAATCAAAGGATCATAAGTTCCTATATATATATCCTCTTTTTCTTTCTACAACTATCTACGTCTTGAAGAAACCCCCCTCCTCCCGTTCTTCCACCTTTACCTGGAATGGGCGGCACGGCGGCCCAGCGACTAGCAAGAATTCCAATGGCTCTGGCTCCTTGCTGGACCATCTGGCATTTCTGTGTGGAGCTGGCATGTTCTCCCCGTGTTCGTGTTGGTTCCCACGGGTTCCATGGTTTCCTCCCAAGGCCTAAATATGCTCTACATTATAGACAAAATAAACCTAAGTCTCTTTTACCACACGTCTCGCTCTCAGAAAGTTCACCTTGGCCTCAGCTGCGGGGGAGTTTTGAGGTCGTCCTGAGCTCAATCTCCCCTCGCCCCTCAAAGGGAGGGAGCCCTGGACTCGAGGATCCCTTGAGCTCAGGGCTCTCTCTCAGGACAGCATGCCAAACAAGCTTTTCGTAAATTATGAGTTAAGTGTGAACTCTTGAAGATACTTTGAAGAATGTTGTTTTTGTTTATATTCAACATAAGAAAGAAATTCTTAAAACTTTACAACCACTTCAGTGTAAGTACATTTTCAGTTCTTGGGTGAACTGTCCCTTTAAATCCCACACCATCTGTCAGTGTATGTTTACATCAGGTATAAACCGAGAGTCAAAGCAAACACTTTTCATAAACCACTTGACAAATTGTAAAAAACCCAGCTCTGAGTGATGAAAATGCGGCTGCGAGGGGAAAACCCAACACTGATGTCATGTTTGGGGTCTCTGCTCTCTTGGACAGCTTTATGAGAGTGCCAGCGAGGCAGAGAAAACCAGCAAGGGATGATTTTACTAAATAAGATCCAGATGTTTCCACCCTCCTGCGTTAAATCTGCCAGAGCGCTGCTGATAACGGCTGCGAGATTGACTGACGCGAACAGGAGTGGGGGAGAAGAGCCATGTTTCTGAACTGAACAACACTGCCTTTAACAAAGAGAGCAGAACTATATTAATTCCCCTCTATGTTTTGATGAATATATGTTGACGTCTGTTCATTTGTTGAGGTGATTTAAATGTATGCCTATTTCGAAAGACTTTAGCATCCACAGCTTATCTCCCTTTGTTTTTTTATCTTTTAGAGTAAAAATATTGACTGTAATGACATTTTAACATTGTTTACAGGACACATCTGCTAAAATATCATTCAGTGGAATGTGTTCAAATATCTTAAAAGGCATATCTAGAACAAATACACTAAATAATTAATTTAAATAGTAGTTATTTTCATTTTAAATCCTTCAACTGCATTTATCCTTCAAACCCCTAGATTTGGCAGCAAGCCTATCTAATAATTTAAACAATCCAGGCTCATTCTGAAAATGTACCGCTATATACATTTCTGGAGAGCGCCAAATACATCCCAGGCGCTACGTTTTTTTTTAATGTTTTTTGTTTTGCGAGGCTGATATGTACGCTTTTTCAGATCTCAAATTTCGCGAGTGCCATTCCAGTCTGCTGTTCTCGTGTAAATCCACCGGAGACTGCTGTCGACTGACTGATCGCCCCACCTACCCCCTTTCCAAAACCCAACCGATAGTGTTTTTAATGACTGACCCGCGCCCCACTTCCTTAAACCCAACTGACAGTGTTTTCAAAAGCAATCCAGAAAAAGAAAAGACCCTTGATTTTTACCACTTTTTCAGATTTTATTTTTTAGCTTCTGTTTTTGTCTTACCTGCTTTCTTTACCGAACTCAAACCCTGTCGACGCGGTCTTCTCCTATTTGCATCTCAAGTCCGCCAATGTAGGGGGTGAACTACTGGACAAACTTGTAAGCGGTGAGCTGCTAGTGCAAAAAGTAACAACGTCATAACACCCCGTAGGGTTTGTTTTAAAGACAAATTGCAGCCATACGTACCTCTGGCTACATCATTTGAAATGTATATAGAGCTACGCTTTCAGAATGAGCCTATGTATGTTGAATTTAAAATATAATCATATTTAATATGATCACTTTTTTCTTTTATATATATTTTAATA